AAAACACAATTTCAAAAAATGTGAACTGTCACTTTAAAGTCCTGCGCCATCTTCTCAAATTAATTTAAACAACTTTGTTCTGGACATGGAATAAGAGTGCTAAAAGTTATTAAACGTAAACCACAGTATCCTTAAAGTAATGAAGTCTATCTACAAAATACATAAAGTTATCTGGTTTATAAATGTTAAATGAGTTAAAACTTGATTGGGAGACCAAAATGTTTTTTTTATAATCCCAGAAATGATAAAGTATAGTTTTAAATTAGTTTACTATCAGTTTGAACTTAAGGCCCTTTAAGAGACTGATGTTCGTGTAGTGGGAAACGAGTGTCTACCTAAACAGAAATCAGTCAGAAAAAGAACAATAACAGAAACACCTACAGTCAATTTAATCCGTTTTAACGTTAAAGTTGTGAAAAGCATTAAACTAGTTTCCAGAAAATAAAAATGTGCATTTTATTAAGTACACTTGTATAGATGTAAACAAATGTATGTCTGCGGTGAGAAATTGCTGATGTGCAAAATGTCAAGAAAATAAAATGAAATTCAATTTAAAATGATTTTTTCATACAGCTGGCACACAAACTTTCTTCCACTTAAATATAACAACAAACTGCATAATACCATATGTAAAATAATAATAATAATAAATTAAAACTCACTCTGCTCCATCCTTCTGCATCATGTTCGATTAGAAAAAAAATTTCCTTTGACAACATTTAAAAAGCCGTAAACCTAAGCACCCGCCAACATTGTGTTAACTCAGAACGGCTACCATCAACAACAGCTGCATGAGAACATGACAAGTGCGATCTCATTTACCTACCCCTGGTCCAGATAATGAGGAACCACAGGATCCTGCACGCAGTTATTAACACGTCCACAACACCCTGACTCATCTCTCGCAGCCACCAATTAGGGCTCCATGAAGCTGGGAAGTACAGACTTAATAACTATTGCAACATTAACAAAAACACAACTTTAGAGGAGAGGTGGGGAGAAAATAATTGTTGATATTTATCACAAAGGAATAGATTGTGAGCAGGACAGGAAGCAGTCGCTCGTTTCAGACCAAGATGTCTCTGCTGACATGCCGTCCCCATCTTACCCCGTCAGTCTGACGTTGCAATATAACACAGTTACACACCGAAAAGCAATTTCTTCCTTTTATCTATGCTAACAGAATAACAATGTAACGGGCCACTTCAACACCACAACTAAATACAATTTGCAGAGTTTTATAAATTGAATTTGCTAAGATGCACAAGCTGATTTTCCTTTCGGCTAAGATATTAAGAATATGCATCACTGCCATGACCGTAATCCTTACTGATGAGAAACACCAAAGACAAAGCAGAAGGTTTTCAATTTGATAAGTTGGATTTGTTCTGTTCTTTATACGGACTAAAAGCCAGCTGCAGAGTGTCGCTGCCTTTATCTACCACTCTGTTCCAGTGAGCATTTACGTCACTTGTCCCTGCAGAATCAACACAACTGTCAAAATAAAAGCCTGAAGGAGACTTATCTCCACTGTTCTCTCCAAAGGCCTGACCTTCAGTGTAGGTATGAAACCTTAAACTGTGAACAGGAAGGGATCAAAAGAAACGAGTGGATCACAAAGCCGGTGAAGAGATGAGAACAAACGGATATATTTCTGTGCGAGGCGGCACTCACTTGTCCAGAGCAGAACCCTGGGTTTGGTTGCTGGTGAGCCTGGAGAAGACGTTGCGGTCGTTTCTGGTCCTCAGAGGAGGGGAGGAGGGGGGAGTGTAGCCATCAGTAGGCCTGAAGAGTGGCAAGGGGCGGGAAAAAAAAGCACAGGATATGTAAAGTCTAAATAAAGTGGTTTATCTGCAAACAAAAATAACTTGTTATTTTATGTACCTGTAGGCGCGGTCGTAAGATTTCCTTCTTGTTAAAGGGGAGGTGTCATAACCCCGAGACTGCCTGGGACTGACCCACACACAGAGACAAGAAACAAACCGATGAGAAGATCTGAAGGGCTTGCACGTCATGTGGAAAACTGGTTGTGAGAAACCGTCATTATAAAGGAGACAAAGGTTTTATTGTTTTAAACAAAAGTTCTCACTTTAGTTCTTCAAATATCAAACAGATATCTCTCAGAACCAATGCAAACGCCACTGATTTTTTCCTCTTGTTAAACTAAATTTAAAGATGGAAAAAAAGTGTTTTTTTTTTAAATACTTGTACTTAATGAAGCACTAGAACAACTGACACGTAGGCCTGTCGCGATAAACAATAATAATAATCAATTAATCGCACCGAAGACACTGGATGACAAAAAGCTCAAGTCCGGTGTTCTTCACTGACCCCTCCCTTTCTCTCTAAAATCTGCTTTAAATGTCCAAAAGTGCGTATTTGGATCGTTAAATGCAGCTAAGCTGAGAAGCTAAGCTACGAGCTAACAGGCCGACCTCGGGGGGAAAAAGCCTCCGTCTTGTCAAAGCTCCAAAATTCACGGTTGAAACCCGTGCCTTCGTCTAAAAAGTTGTTTTTCTCTGCAAAAAGAAGCTGAGAACTTGTTTACTCTTTTTTTTTTATTAAAAGCTTTCTGTGACAAATACTACGCTAATGAGCTCAAACCACACAGAGCGTCCGACATTTTGAGAACTGAGAAACAGGAATGAGAGACAGCCCATGTCACGTCAAGGGGCCTCCCTCCCATTTTGCTTAACGCTGCTCGTTCCCTCACTATCCATCCTTCGGTTCAAACAGTCTTATACTGCCATGCAGTGGTCAAAAACGATACTACACACAAAATTAACCAACATTTCTTCTTAAATTTGACAATAATTACTCATTATTGTAAAATTTCAAACAATGTTATCGTTTATCGCAATAATTTCTGAGACAATTAATAGTCCAGCAAAATTTGTTATCGTGACAGGCCAACTGACACGTGAACAAAACAATCCCAGCTTCGCTGGTGATCGCCACCGCTGGCCACCTTTGTTGAACCCTCCAGGACTTACAAGGTGTGACCCCTGACGGGCAGGCTGATGGTGCGGGACGCGCGGTCCTTGAAGTAGGGGTCTCGCAGGGGCAAACTTAACGCCAAACTCCCTGGAATGAGACTCAGGCCGTCCTCCTGGATGTCTGTCAGCGAGGCCAGAGACTTGGTGATGTGCTGCGGTTTGCTGCTTGACGACGGGTCCAGGACCGGACCCAGGTACTCTGCCGACACCGCCTTCATCTGGCCTGACAGACGAGGCTCCACCTGGGTGGAAAATCATTTAGTGATCCAAATGATTAGAAGTTAGAGAGTGGAATAAAAATGACTGAAAATTGACACAAAATTTAATTCAGATCCATTTAATTAAGATTAATGAACAGCCTGACATTCAGCCTCTTCAGCTTCACTGTTGCGTTTATTGTAATTATCTTCATCTACGTGGGGGGGTAGAGAAACACCACATGTCCTGGGGACATATTTCGTTTTATGCGTTTCATAAAATGAGAAATAAAAAAATGATATGAGCAATTTGAGTCAAATGTGGAGTTTTCTACCAGCAAGGCTGAGCACAAAGATTTGTATCGTTTGCTTCTTCTGCCTCCGTGTGGTCAAGAACAAAAAGAGCAACTGCTTCCAGACGGAGAAATCACGTCAACAAGTAGCGACAGTGTTAAATAGTCTCGACAGAGAAAAGATAGTTTGTACCTTTAATTTGAAATCATCCTGGCTGTTGGATTCCTTCATTTGTGAAACACTAAAAAAAGAGAGAAGAGGAAAAGTAGAGAAAGTAATAATGTGGCTCAAACATTTATTGGAGTCCAGATTGGGATTTTTTTAATTTTGCTTTTCTGTCTGTTAGAAAACATAATTACATTAAATACTGTCGATGTTTCTTTTTGACTGATCTCAAGACAATAATGTTGTCTGGTGTGCGCTGAGCTCACCTGCTGTCAGAGGCCTGGCTGAACTCCGAAGGCTCCTCGTCCGTGCTGGCATAACCGTTTTCTGGAAACAAATTTCTTCTGTGAATATGTATGCTGAATCACAGAAGTTATGACTCTTTTATTCAAAGAATCTGTGAATTTTAAATCCGATTCCAGCAACACATTCAGAAACGTTTGTGACAGTCGCCATTATGTTGCTCTGGTTGCAAGACTTTTTTTGTTTTCTTGTTGGATAATCAGTTGCAGCAAATGCATTATTAAAAACATTTTTTGTTTTTTTATGTGCAAATAATTTGAGCTGAAGGAAAATCAGTCGTACATTTTTTATTTTTTTTTTTTTACTTGAGAGCTGTGATTTAAAGTGAGCAGAATGTGGTTTGGCATTTTTGTGCTGATATAAAATGTCCTAACAAAAAAAAAAAAAAGTGGCAGCCATTTTGCTCCAAAACCTTTAGTTCACTACAGAACACGGTGCTCAATATGGGCCAGATCCCGTCGGAACAGGATCTGGGAACTCTTTATTTTGACAGGGTGCGTTCCGGTAACTGTTTGCTCGAATCCGATAACTCTCGGGCTTAAGAATAATAAAGTTATGAACAAATTTAACTGCCTTGATGTTGATGCTTGATGCGTAATCACGTTAATGATCATGTATCAAAACAACAGCGCCAGTTTGTCAAAATAACAGCGATCAAAATGTTGAAAGACAGTCCAATTTACAAACCGGATTCCAAAAAAGTTGGGACACTAAACAAATTGTGAATA